AGAGACAGCTTCTTTTATATATATATATATCTATATATATATATATATTGCCACAAACAAGTTCTCCAGAAAAAAACATTCATTCCCAATAAATTAAAAAGGTCCATGTCCTGGTAAGGAGCTTTAAAAAGGGGGGCCTCCCTGCAGGGCACCGCACCCCGCCCCAGCGGGCCCGGCAGGCGAAGCCGGGGCGGTGAGATGCCAGGGCGAGGGCACCCCAGACTGTCACTCCACCGGGGGCTCCAGCAGGAAGGGCGAGGTGACGGCGTGAGCCTGGGCAATGGCAGCCAACTCCTTGAGGAACTCGCTGAAGATGACCGCGCAGTAGACGGCGTTCTTCACCCGCAGGGCCTCGCCCTGCTTCTCTGCGGAGCTGCGGAAGAGGGCGCCCCCCGACAGGGCCTGCAGCACCTGGCCCTCGCGCACGTGCTGGAGGGCCAGCTGGGCGGCCTGGCGCGCCCGCGTCGGGCTGTTGGTGTGACGCATGATCAGCTCCCCGATGGTCGGCTTCCGGCTCTTCACTGGCAGGAGAGTGGACGCGGGTCAAGACTGGCCAGGGGCGCTGGGTCCCAGGCAGCTTCGGGGTCCGCAGCCAAAGGCTGAACCTCTGGGGCGGCCCTCCTCCTCGCCCTGGCTGCTGGGGTGCCATGCCCTCCCTGCCCTCGCGCAAGCAACCGCAGCCATTCCAAGGAGCCCCCTCCCGCCCCGGCCACCCCTCCACGCGCAAGAGACCAAAGCAGGGAGCCACGGCCAGCGCCTGGGCCACGCCTTCTCCCCACAAGTTGGCTGGCCTCTCCCGGCCACGCCCCACATGGCTCACCAAGGGCCTCGGAGCGGCGCAGGGAGGGCACGCTGTTCGGGGCGTCGGAGCAGTCCGGCTTGCCACGCGCAATCAGGAACCTCTTGGCCTTGAACAGCAGAGATGGGAAGTCCTCCTGGCTGGCTGCAAAGCCCTCGATTTTGTTCTTCACGGAGCCCAGGACCTGCGGGAGAGAAGCAGGACCCCTCAGCCCTCTTTGCAGGGAGGGGCCTCGGTGGTGCTCCCCAACGCCCCACCCATCGCAGGGCTACCTGGAGGAGGGATTTGACGCTGGGCTGGAAGACCATGTTGGTGTTGAGCAGGAAGGAGCGCAGGAGGGGCTGTGGGTAGCAGGCCAGCTGAGCGAGGAGCCCCGTGAGCAGGAAGTTCACGTAGAGGGAATTCTGCAGCATGTTCTCCAGCTTGGCCAAGAGGATGCCCAGGAAGGGGCCTGTGGACAAAGCCTGCGATCAGGCAGGCGGGCTGAGCCCCTGGGCTGCTACAGCAGCAGCAGAACACCCCCCGCCCCCCCACTGAATCGGGGAAGGAAGGAGCACCGGGATCCCACCCCCCAGAAGCTCCCAGGGCCTCCAGAACAGCCAGCCGTACAGCAGAGCCCAGGACATCGGAGGGCACACGTGGGGTGGGCAGTCCCAGACTCTCCAGGCTAACAGAAGGCCCGGGGGCAGGAGGGGTGCTGATCCTGCCTCTCAGAAGGCCCGTGCTGGACTCGGAAAGGCAGCCTGAGAGGGGGAGGACTCCCCCCCTCCACTTCACTCTACTGCCTTGGCCGGGAACCACTGTAACTAGAGTGTACCGAGAGGCCACCCGACTCCAGATGACTCTGCGCAGCGGCTTACGTTAAAAAAGCAAGAACAGTTAAAAAGAAACCTAAACAGCTCGTAAGCACCCAAAGGTTTACGAGGGTCTTCCCCGGGACGCCAACGTGACGGACAGGCCGGGTCCCCGGCACGAGGCCAGCTTGCAGAAGGGAAAGGATGACCCTGGGCTCCTGGAGAAACTCACCGGTGAACGGCTGGCTGGGAGGCTGCCCCGAGGTCCGGGGAGGGCTGCTGATGATCTGGGCCAGGGGGTCAGCTGGCTGGGCTGCTGCGGTGCCCTCGGGGTAGGAGGAAAAGTGGCAGTAGGCCTCCTCTTCCTCGTGGGAGAGTGGGTCGGGCTGGGCGGGGGGGCCTGACACAGCGGCTTCCTCGGCTTGGCCCCCATTCGCCATCTCGTCTTCCAGCTGGCACAGCTCCAGGTGGAACTTCTCAACCGCTAACGGCCCTCCGTTCTCCAGGGGGGCCTGGCTCAGCACCTCGTCCGCAAGCAAGTCCAGGCAGGGCGTGCTCTCCCAAGGGCCGGGGGCCGGGACCGAGCCGTTCTCCAACGGGCTCTCCTGGGGGCACCAGCGGACCTTCTTGAAGCCCGTGTCCACGTGGGCCCCGTTAAGCAGCGCGCTCTTGTCTTTGGTGTCCGGAGGTGGGGGAGTGCTGGGCGGCAGGCTGACAGGGGCCTCTTCTAGGCTTTGCCCCCGCCTTTTAGTCCGGGGGGAGGCGGGCGCAGGGTCCAGCGGGCCAGCCCTGGGGTGGACGGACGCGTTGGCTGCCGAGGCGGCGTCCGGAGGCGGAGCTAAGCTGCCGGCACCAGGCTCCTCCCCATCGTAGGGGGCCGACCAGACGCGGCAGGCCCAGACGCAGTGGTCGATGTTGAGCCGCGCATCCCTCAGGTATTCCAGGTAGTTCCCTTCCAATTCCGAGACCTCCTCCCATCTCCCAGGACGGTGACCGGGGCTCCCAGTGGGCGTCCCTGGAGACCGGGGCGTGGGACTCGGGGCCTCAGTGCTGACACTGGACTGGCGGGTGAAGAAGGAGATGCGAGACGGCGTGGAGGGCCTGGGGAGGGTCACCACGGAGGAGGAGTCCACGCTGGGGCTGCCCTGGCCTGGGGGCCCAGATGAGGTGAGGATCAGTGAGGGTCACCTCCACCGGGACCCCAGCACAGCAGCTCAGGACAGCCCCCGTTCCTCAGCAAGAGAGGGCTGTGCCTGCTCCAGGAAGTCCTGATGAGAGCGCCCTCCCCCCAGCCCTCTCCAGGACACAACCCCAGCAGACCCCTCACCTTTGGACCAGGTGGCACGTTCCTCCTCCCGCTCAGGCGCGGGCAGGCTCTCCGGGCAGCAGCAGCGGGGGATCAGCGAGAGGAATTTGGCAGCGGCCTTGCCGTACAGGTCCAACTCCTTGACTGCCCGCTTCTGGCTCAGCATGACGTGGCTGCAGGGGATCAGGTACCTGGGGGGAGGACAGCAGCCCATGGGCAGAGCGCTAGTGGCGCCATCTGCAGCGTGCCAGAGGCCCCACCAGGGGGAGCTCCTCCCCCAGAGATGCCCAGCGGATGCACAGAAGGCGGGCCTGGCGCAGGGCAGCTGTTCTAGAGGGAGCAGGCTTTCCCGCCCCTCCTCCTGAAGGAATGCCCAGCAGGCCTTCAGCTTCTGGCTTCAGCACTGCTGGAGGGCCCCCCCCCCTCCCTTCCCCACAAAGAAGCGCGCTCTGCACCCCCCCGCTTTGGGGGGGGGCAACAG